AGCGGGCCCCGGAATCCGGCGAATTCCGCGTCCCAAGGTGGCAAGTTGACAAGTTGTGGAATATGTTATTCCCGGTCCGCCGGACCAATTCCTGGTCCGCCGGACCGGGGTCAGTTTATTTTTTTTCGAAAACTTCTTCCAGTCCGCGCTTTCCAGTCCCCACTCCGGCTGAGCGGTTGGTCCGCCGCGGACCAACCCTGTATTATTTTTTTTTCTTTTCTTTTCTTTTCCTTTTCTTCATTCTTTCTCGGTCCTTCCCGCACGTGACGATCCTCGTGCCTCTCCCCGATATTGTATCATCACTTTTGGTGATTTCGTGATATCTCTATTTAATTATTCATTTTTAATAATTAAATATTCCAATCGGGTTTCGGGGTATTACACACCGACTACTTGATCAGGAATATCGACACCATGTTCCACGCCAGAATTTCGAACCTCCGAATGTCCTTTCCAGATTTTGCAGGGAAAAGGGTTTAATATTGGTTTTTGGCATTTCATCGATATGATCTGTTGACAACCTAATTGTTGTAGGTCTCTTACTATCATATTGCAAGAACTATTATGTAATACACTTGATTTAATATACATCATTTATTAAAAAAAACATTTAGAATGGACCGAAACAAAGATGGATTAATACTCCCAAACAAAGTAATATATGAATTGCGCCATGGAAGATCCATGGTTATTTATGTGGAAACATTCTCGGCACGAGTCCATCTTTTGGATCAACCCTAGAGCTGAGACAAGACCTGAACCATCTCGGCTCGTGGTCTGCACCGTGCGACCAGCGGCTCGGCCTTGACCATAGCCACATTGAACACCGGCCTCATGTCCACGGCCTGGCCTATCTTCTCCCACTCGAAGCACTGAACCATGGCTCCAACCGTGAGGGCAACCGTCCTCATCCCCATCCCAGCTCCTGGGCACGCCCTCCTCCCGACCCCGAACGGCAAGAACCGGAACCCATCTCTATCCCCGACAAAACCCTCGAATCTCTCGGGCTTGAACGCCTCTGCTTCATCCCAAAGTTTCCCATCCCTATGGACCGCCCACGCATTCACCAGAACCATAGTGTTGGCCGGAATCTCGTAGCCGTCGAGGCTGAATTTTTTGGAGGTATAGTGCGGAAGCAAGAGTGGAGCTGCAGGGTATAGTCTAAGGGTTTCGTAGATAACGCAACGAAGGTAAGGCAGGTTCTGGAGATCCGAGTCTCGGATTAAGCGGTCGTGTTTAACGTTTGCTTCGATCTCGGCTCTTAGCTTCTCGAGCTTATCGGGGTGGTTCAGAAGAACAAACATTGCCCATTCCATCGTCCCTGGCGAGGTATCCGTCCCCGCATTGAACATTAGCTTCAACATTGAAACTCAACATCAGTCACAAACGGGTATTTGCTTAACGCCGGCAGAACCAAACAAGAGTCTCACATTTGTTATGTCCTTACTGTAACGACCCGATGCCGCACGAATTGTCGAAACTGCCCTCACACAGCAACCCGAGACCTTTCAGCGTGTTTTGTCCTCACTCGCACGTATACCGAGACACTTCCCAGTAGGTCACCCATCCTGAGATTGCTCCAGAGCCAGCACGCTTAACTTTGGAGTTCTCTCGGGATAGTCAACCAAAAAGGTAGGTGCACCTTGTTGCTATGAGTAGCTCAACTAATTCTTTTATGTTATCTTAGACTGTATAGTCCTATACCTATATAGCCCTCGGATCTCTCTCATTCCGGTGTGTTCGATTCATCCCTGTACCCCCTACCCAGAAGCTCGTCAGGAGCCGCCCCTTGTCCGTGCCTCTGCACCGGCGATCACTCCCCGCCCTCCTACGGTACTCTGGGTTGTCACAGGCCCACCAGCTTCCGCCTGGTTCGTCCTCGAACCACACCGTACTGGGAGAGTACCGGCTCTGATACCATCTGTAACGACCCGATGCCGCACGAATTGTCGAAACTGCCCTCACACAGCAACCCGAGACCTTTCAGCGTGTTTTGTCCTCACTCGCACGCATACCGAGACACTTCCCAGTAGGTCACCCATCCTGAGATTGCTCCAGAGCCAGCACGCTTAACTTTGGAGTTCTCTCGGGATAGTCAACCAAAAAGGTAGGTGCACCTTGTTGCTATGAGTAGCTCAACTAATTCTTTTATGTTATCTTAGACTGTATAGTCTCATACCTATATAGCCCTCGGATCTCTCTCATTCCGGTGTGTTCGATTCATCCCTGTACCCCTACCCAGAAGCTCGTCAGGAGCCGCCCCTTGTCCGTGCCTCTGCACCGGCGATCACTCCCCGTCCTCCTACGGTACTCTGGATTGTCACACTTACCACAATGATCCCTTTGATGACATCGTCTGGATAAAGCTCGGGATCTGATTCTTGAAGGGACAAGAACTTCTCCACCACCGATGACGCAATCTCCGTCTGGTCGTTTGATCTGTTTCTCTCACTACGAACTTCGTCAACGAGATTCTGCAGATACTCATCTCTCATCCTCTGCATCTGAATCGCTCTCCTCTCGATGCCCTTGTACCCAATCCACCTCAAGACCGGAAGAAAATCGCAATGGTTCATCGACATGCTGGAGAAAAATCTCGCCTTGAAATCGTCCAATAACCTCGTTTCTGATTCTGGGTCGACCTCCGATTTCTTCAGTTCGACCCCTCGCTTCCCAGCTACGATCCTCAGCATCATATGAACAGTCAAAAGCGTGAACAGATGCTTCAAATCCACTTTCCGAGAACCATCACCATCACCATCACTGCTACATAATCTGAAGAGCTTCGAGCACAGATTCGAGACTTCTTCGTTCTGTACGAAAGCGTTCTTCTGGAGACTGGCGGAGGAAAAAGCTTCGAGGGTCGAGAGACGGCGGAGATTCCGCCATAGATCTCCGTACGGAGCGAAACCGAAGTTCTTGTACCCGCTGAAGTGGTCGGAAGTGATGGTTCTGGGTCTGTTCGCGACGGTTATGTCGTGGTCGGTGAAGCACTCTTCAATGGCTTCCGGGGGAGGGAGAACCAAAACGGGACGGCATCCGAACTTCAGGAAGAGGAACGGGCCGTAGTTGAGGGATAGGTCGTGCAGAGCTTGCGGTAAGGGCTTGTTCTGGATGAGGTGGAGATGGCCGGTGATCGGAAGAGGGATCGGACCTGGGGGTACTTTACGATTTGGCCACGCTAGGGTTTTGGTGACGAAGAAAGCTGTCGTGATGACGAAGACGGCGAGGAAGACGAACCAGAGATTCTCCATTTTTTTTTTCTAAAACATCATCGAGGAATACCATGTCATGACAGGACAAAAGTATATAGATTTGTTATGATTGTTGATAAGATACTGTTTTTTTCCTGCAATCGAATTTCACGTTTCATTGTTTTAGCTCATTATTTATTACTCTCTCCGTGTTTTTTTAACACGTATAATAACAAAAAAGTACAATTTTAAAAAATATATAAACTTTTCAAAAAATTTAAAAAATCTTAATTCTGCTTTATTAAATAAAATCTGAACTTATTTTTTTTATGTTAGAAAAAAATTTAAACTTTATAAAATTTGTCATTTTTAAATCTAATTATATCATTTATGATTTGATTAATCCATAAAAATCGGTATGCATATCATTATTTATGATAGTGTAGATAATAGCTTGTACCATTTGATCAAATTTAGGATAAAACCTATAAATATTTTTTAATTTATAAAATGGCAGAAAATAAATTTCTAAATTTTTGGTCTAACAAATTTATTTTCTAACTTGTAAAATAAGTCATTATAATTCTCAAAATTATAAAATATATCATTATAATTCTTAAACTTGTTTTTGAATAAAAAATTGTCAATGTTTCTTTTGATACTAATTAACAATTTTAAAAATTATAATAATACCAATTAACAAGTTTAGAAATTATAATAACATATTTTATAAGTTTAAGAATAAATTTGTCACACAAAAAGTTTAGAAATTTGTTTTCCACCGTTTTATAAGTTTAGGAATATTTATTGATTTTATCCAATTATAAATTGATACATATTATATCAAAATACTACATCATCAATTCACCTAAGAAAGATAATATTTATAAAATATAGATTTTATTTATTAAAAATAGAATTTAGATTTTTTTTATAAAACAATTAAAAATTTTGAATATTTTTAGAGATTTTTTCTAACAAAAATAATATTTTATCTAAAATACTTTTTTTAATATGTAACTAATTATTATTTTAAAATATACAGAATATTTTATTATTATTTATATAATTATTTATTTTTAAATAATTAAATATTCAAGTCGGGTTTCGGGGTATTACAAATCCTCCACCCTTAAAATGAATTCGTCCTCGAATTCCAGAACCGCAGAATCTCATCACCAAAAACACATTCCATAACGTCACGTCATCTGG